CTGGATACCTCCTCAGACCCAGACCTGCAAGCAGGTGTTGTACTGGATACATGGGTCAACAATTGGGGTCTGAGGAGTTATTTAGCAGAAAATGTTTTGGCATTTGAGATCTGGTAGAAGTCAGAAGGAAAATATCTATGGAGTTTTTGTAGGTGTTACCCAAATATGTTCTGCAAAAAACCAGCTCAGGGGTATCATCACAAAGACAATCTAGGTGTCTTAGCTCACGAGGCCTTGCTTTCACCTGGGACGTCAGAGGAGGGCTCGGGAGCGCAGTTCAGGCCCTGGTCAAATCCTTGCTTTCCGTGGACTAGCTGGTGTCTGTGCACAGTCCTAGTGTGTGCTGGGGCTGGTTCATCTCTGCAGGAGTGCTGGGTTTTATCATGCCCTCCCAAGTCTGTGTTTCACCCGTGTCATGTTGCTGAAGTGGGAGGGTGGGACACTTTTTTTTTGGGGGGGGGTACCAGGAATTGAACCCAGGGGTGCTTTATCACTAAGCCACAATCCCAGCCCTTCTTTTTTATTTTTATTATTTTTAAAAATTTTTAAAACAGGGTCTAAGTTGCTTTGAGCCTTGCTAAAGTTGCTGAGGCTAGCCTCAAATTTGGAATCCTCCTGCCTTAGCCTCTCAAGCTTCTGGGATTACAGGTGTGCACTACTGTGCCTGGCTCTGTTTTTCGAGTCTTTACGCCATGGGAACAGGCAAATCAGTGCTCCCCTTGATCTTAATGTTGGTACATATTTACATATTACATACATATTTCATAATTACATTTCCTAATTTGTGCAATGGGCAGATAGTACTTTCCTGACCCCGAGAATGAATGGAGAGGACTTGTGAGAAGCACAGGTAATAGCCCTTCATTCATTAGCTTTCTAGTTCTTTTAATCATATGATATTAGTGATATCGTTGAGACTACTGTTTGGGGAAGTGGAAGCTGATTTCCCTCACTCACGTTGGTTTCTAAGAGCCATTGAACCTCCTAGTATCTCTCTTGCCCTGGGGTATGTTTGCCTGCTGTGCCAGCCTGTCAACTTACCAGGAAATGTAAGTTATATAACTAGGTGGCCTGACCCAGAGGGCAGATTCCTGTTGGCACTAGCACAACCCTGACAGTGAGGGCCTCTTTGAAGGTCCCCTGAGTGCCTTGCTTGCACCATCCTGATCCTGGGCCTGCTCCATTCTGACAAAGTCTGCTGGCCCTAGGACCGTAATTTGAGTAGCAAGTCCTTAAGCTGCAGTTCCTGTGGGTTTCACACGTGACCCGTGACCCTCAACAGCAGTGAGGATATTTCTAGGTTGAAGTTGGAGGTATGTCACGCCTGGAAAAGAAACATCGATTCTGCAAACTTTTTAATTTTAGATAACACAGGGTCATTTGAGCCTGCCTGGCTGCCAATCTCAGTTCTCTAGGGACATTTCAGACAGTTCAGTGGTAGCTCAGAGATCCAGGGCCCCTTCGTCGGCACCTGAACAGATCTCTGTCTCCAGTCAGGTCTTCCCTGTTCCCAGAATACCCTATCATTATAATGTGGCCCTTCCCGGAAGAGTGTCCTTGCTCTCTTCACGGTGGCACAGTGGGGTTTCTTTGGCCTGCCAGGTGCTGGGCCCCAACCAGGTCTTGGGCTGCCAACGCATCACATCGTTGAACCTCATTTGCTTCCCTGTTGCAGGCCTTGTTTAGGGCCACCAAGACCGTTTATGATGACATGGCTCTTGAATCAGAGGACACAGGCTTGGGGTTTGAACCCTCCCCTCCCCAGAGGCCTCTCTGCTGTCCTCACAGAGGGCTCCACCTCCTCCCTGAGGCCCGGTTTTGCATGCCAGGGACCTCTGGGTGCAGCCAAAGACCTCACCTCCTAACTTCCAGGAGTGAGAAAGAGAAACAGTATCTGCTGTGTTCCCACAGTGTCCCTCAGTGGGATGGCTGAGGAGTGGCCTCAGGACTCTCCCTTGATACCAGCTGAAGGAGCTGTGGCATGCAGGGGAATTCTGAGTCTTTCCAAGGTCACCCAGTGAGTCAGAGGAACAGGCAAATCTGTTTAGTTAGAAGAATCTTTGTTTTCTTTCCCACATTTGTTAATCCGGAGCATTAGTGAGTGTACAGAGAGACCTTTGTTTCCCGTTCTGTTCATGTGTTTGTCTGTCCCTCCTTCCGGCCCTTCCTTCCCCTCTCTTTTTTTTTTTTTTTTGTCTATACAGCCCCTTCTTAGCTAACTAAGTGCCTTCCTCCATCTTCTGTTGTTATAACAATTTACCTGAGACATGATAATCTATAAAGAAAAGAGGTAAAAAAGAGAGGGTAAAAGAAAAGAGGCTAAAATTTCTTGAAGTCCAAGAATATGGTGCCAACATTTACCAGGCCTTTGGTGAAGACCTTGTGCTGTTTCATGCATGGCAGGAAAACCAAGGGCAAGTGCGTACATGCAAAGAGAGGAGAGGACAAAAGGGGATCCCGTGCTAACAACCCACTCTCACAATAACTAACTCTTTTTTTAAAATTTTTATTTATTTTTTTAGTCATACATGACAGTAGAATGCATTTTGATATATAATACATACATGGAATGTACATACATCAATCATATTGTCTATTCTATTCTGCTGCCCTTCCTATCCAATAACTAACTCTTATAGGAACTGCATTAATTCTTCTAAACACCTTTTAAAGGCCATACATGCCTCACTTCCACTATTTTGGCCAACAATTTTTTTTTTTCATTTTTTTGGTACTGGAGATTGAACCCAGGGGTGCTTAACCACTGAGCCACATCCCCAGCCCTTTTTACTTTTTATTTTGAGATAGGGTTTCACTAAGTTCCTTAGGACTTTGTTAAGATGCCAAGGCTGGCTTTGAACTTCCAATCCTCCTGCCTCAGCCTCCTGAGCTGGGATTGCAGGTGTGCATGACCAGTAAATCTTGACATGAATTTTGGTGGGGACAAACCTACATATCCAAACCACTGCACTGGAGTTTCAATTCAACATTCCAAGTTTGGGCCAATGTCAGGACATTCCTGAAAGTATTTTGGGGGGCCTACAAATTGGGTTCCCTGGAACTCTGGGCTCAGTTTTGGCATAATTGTGAGGATTCTACCCTTCAGTTAGCAAGAAAGTATTCTCACAAATGAAGTCTGAGAACTTCCCATCTCAGGGACAGCAAGGCCATCACGAGCATTTGTGAGAACAGAGAACTGGAGCCATGATTTCCCTCCCCCCCATCCTCACCCCCCCATTTTTTTTTTTTTTTTTTTTGTACCAAGGATTGAACTCAGGGCACTTGACCACTGAGCCACATCGCCAGCCCTATTTTGTGTTTTATTTAGAGACAGGGTCTCACTGAGTTGCCTGGTGCCTCGCTTTTGCTGAAGCTGGCTTTGAAGTCATGATCCTCCTGTCTCAGCCTCCCAAGCTTCTGGGATTACAGGCGTGCGCCACCACACCCAGCCCCCCTCCCCCTTCACATGGCACTCAATATTTCCACATGGCTTCAGTCAAATCCAAAGAGAGAGAGAAACCCTAACACAAATGAAAGCCCAGCGCTGACCTCCAGATATTCCATCTACGGTTCCACCCACTTAGAGACAGGCATGAACAGGGGGAAGAGGGACAAAATAGCAAAGAAGGATGCTTCCCCATCTCTCTGCCTACCGAGAGATTCTGGGGTGACAGCGGGAGGGGAGGAGTCAGAAAAGTCACATTTATGTGGGAAAACAATGAAAATGAATACAGAAATATCGAATATAAAAGTGAAAAGGAAATCTTTCTAGTGAATTAAAAACAATTTTTACATAATTTCAGAAAACACAATGCCTCTGATTTAAAGATGACTTTTCCAATGAAAAGACTCTTCCTTTCTTTACTTTTTGGGCCTTGGGACTGAACATGAAACTTGCCCAGAATCAAAACAAAACAAAAGAAAAAAAACATAAAGTACTCTCTCCGTACCCCATTTCTCTGCCTATCAGACCTTTCTGGTCTGCCTCCACCTCCCCCAATTAACTGTGGCCAGCCGCTTTCCCTGTACCCTGGCTTTTTTCCACCACTGTGACCCTGAGGTGGGAACACGGAGCCCCTGAACTGGGGATGGAGAGATAGGAAGGGAGTGTTTCAAGGCTGAGCAGGGCTGAAGGAGGAAGGGGAGGGTTTGCTGGGATAAGACACAATCTGGCTTTGGATCCTGGTTCCATTGTTCATTGGCTGTGTGACCCCGGGCAAGCTTTGTCACTTTCTGAGACTGGATTCTCCTTTGTAAATGAGAAAACTGAGCTGTTCTTACCCTCTTTGGGCCAATGTGAGAACTGCACAAAGAGGTGCAGACTATTTACCCATTAGCAACCTCCTATTACTAAGAGGAAGAAGGACCCTCAATATTCCACAGCAGAATTGGAGACCTTTGGCTCTTCCTTTCTCCTCCTGGGTGTTTATTTCTTTGCTTTCTGGAGATTATTGATTTATTTATTTTTAAAGAGGCAGACCTAGAGAGGGACAGAGAGACAAGAGAGCCCATGGTAAGGCAGGAGAAAACCCAGGAAATCTGGTGGTCGAGTCAGTGAGAAAAGAATGGAGGGCAGCAGTTACACAGAGGGTTTCAAATGGACTTTTGAGGCCCCATGTGATGGTCTGCCCCCCACACCCCCGGGAGAATGAGCTGGAATCAGGATGGTGAGGAGAGGCGCAGGTTGGCCCTGAAAGTTGCATTCCTCTTTCATAACAAAGAAAACATTCACCTTCTAAAAGACACTAACTAGACTGGACATAATTGGACTATATTCAAATCAATGCAAACATTTACTTTAAAAAGTCATACAAAATAATAAAAAATAACCCGCATTTAGAGTAGTATCACAGCAAATGGTATGAAAGACACACATAAAATGTTGCTCATGGAAAGTCAGATGACTTTTTTTTTTTTTTGGTACCGGGGATTGAACTCAGGGGCACTCGACCACTGAGCCACATCCCCAGCCCTATTTTGTATTTTATTTAGAGACGGGGTCTCACTGAGTTGCTTAGGGCCTTGCAGTTGCTGAGACTGGCTTTGAATTTGCGATTCTCTTGTCTCAGTCTCCCAAGCCACTGGGATTATAGGCCTGTGCCACTGCACCCGGCATCAGATGACCTTTTAGACCCAATATTAAAAACAAAACAATAAAACCAGTCCTTAGTTTGCTCTTTGGAACAACATCATTTAAGTGTTTCTTGTTACACTTGTCTGTTCCTTTGGAATGCTGCGGTGTAATACAGAAGAAATGCGTTCCTCCAAACTGTAACAGAAAGTAGGTCAAACCCAGTCAATTCCTTTGAGTGTTTTCATGGCGAGAACAGCCAACTATGGTATGCTAAGGAAGAAGACTGTACTAAAGTTTTGATAATGTGGCTGAGCTTTCCTTGAGAGCAAACAGGTAAAGTGAAATCAAGGAACGATATTTTAATGTAAGGTCCACCCTAATCTCAGACCTGTCTCATTTCTCAAACAACAGAGCCAGGACTCGAAAGGGCGGACATCAAGTTCAACACAGGACACCTTGCACTCGTTTCTACATAAAGCATTCCAAAGTAAGTCATTAATCGTGGTCACAGAGCACTTCTGGGCTTTAAACTAGTCTTCAGATAGTCAGCCGGTGCCTGGGAGGTTTTATGTGCCTACACCTCTACGGAGAGGCCAACAGGAATTTCAGGAAGGCAGCGTCTGGCTCAGGGCCACGGTGTCCCTAGCCAAGGCCATCTCTGTGTGGCTCCCAGAATTGCTGAGCTCTCCTTTCTCAGATGACTTTGTTGGAAAATAGAGCAACAGCTGAAGCTCGTGGGCATCTGGGCTCTGGCCAGGACCCCTGAGGGTGCATCCCCAAAGAACAGCAAGATGGAACCTGAACAGTTGTCTTATTCTTCCAACTCACGATCTTTGTGTAGTGGGAGAACATTTTATAAAAAACAGAATAAAACAGTCTCTGATACTTCCCTTTACCTGTGGTCTTGTTTTTCACTTTCTCAGAATCCACCCACCTTTAATAAACCCAAACAGAAGATACAAATGCAGGCAGGCAGGCAGCTATTAATTGGCTCATGGTCAAGTCTCAAGGCAGGGAGGTCACACTGCAAAGCAGAGAGAGGAAAAAAGGGAGTCTATTGTAGGCTTGTGATTGACCCAATCTAAAGGCCTTTAGGGAAAAGGCCAGAAATCCTATAAACACAGACACACAATCCAGGAGCTCGCTGAGGAACGGGAAGAACAGCTCTTTCCTTCCGTCCAGTCCAGCCAACAGCTCCGAGGCTCGCCATTCATCCACACCTTGAACTTGGTGGTCTTTGAGAACAAGTCTGTCCTTCTCTTTCTGACCATCTGGGATGAAGTCCCATTGGGATCTCGCTGTCAGGACGTGGTTTTTATGAACAGAACTCATGGTTCTTCCTAAGCCTAATCCACAGTAAAAGGAGCTGGGACATCAAGCTCCTTCTGTCATTCATGTCTTCAAGAAGGACTTTAATGTATCTAAGGGACCTCTAGGGATGAAATGGGATTTTTTACCAAAGATTAATATCAGATGGGTCAGTGGTTACTTTGGCAGATGTCACTGTGGATGGATGACACTGAGGGCTATTGCTCTGAGCCCCAATTGTCAACCAGTACCACTAGGTAATTCTGCCCCTCCTCCCTTGACTTTTTGACCTCCAAGGAAAATGTGTGTGTGTGTGTTTTCCCTAGGCCATTTTGACAAGATGCAAGTTAAAATTAATTTCATTAAGGAAAGACCTATTTCCTTTCATACCTGAGTCTATGGAATAGGAATCCTATTACACATGATTTTTACCCTTTTTGCTGACTTAGCAAAGAAGCAGATGAACATAAGGCCAACGTGGAGTTATCACATGGCATGTGTGTAAGTCACGGAACCATAGCCACATGCTGGCTGGGCCCCAGAGCAGTCTAAGAGTAGCACCCTGTCCCTCACCCACCCATGAAATAGGAAAGGCCCTTCTACAGCTGGTAGCAGAGGGTACCATAAGGAAAGAGACATGCTGGCAGCATGCTGAAATTGAGGCGAGGATCTGGGTGTTTGACGGTGAAGGTATGTGGTCTGTTAGCCTAGAATCTACACTCTGGACAAGCCACGGATCCCACTGGTGCAGGAAGGACCCGACCTGTCTGTGTAGGCCCAGCAGGGTCTGCTTCACTTCAGTCCTGACCACCTGTCAACTTGTGAAAGAGGTCTTCATCGAGTGTTTCATTCTGGTCCTTGGAGCGAGTGGACAAGAAAATGTAGCCGCCGATGTACTCATGCACAATCTTGCAATCCGCACTCAGGCACGTAAATGCAACCTGGAAGTTTTGGTCAAACTCGATCATCACCTGGAAGAGGGAGGCGTGGAGAAACTTAAATTCTGACAAGGATGGGTGAGAAAGAAGCTGCTTTACTGAGTTGGGCCCTGGAGTGGAGGACCACTGAGGTGGATACTGAAGTGACTGACAGATGTATGTTCCCCTAAAAGAGCACAGAAAACCACCGCTTCCACTTAACACTGACATGTCTTTGCTCTGTGCGCCCCCTTGTGGTGTCAACTGATTTACACCGGGTTAAACATCTCCCAGCACAGGCGTATTTTCCCTCTTAGGCATCTGCACATTTAGATATAAGAACTGCCCAAGCACTCTTGTGTAGAGGGCAGGATGTTTTGCAGACTCTTCAGTGGAAAATAGAAGGCCTGCTTGAATCTCCTATAGCTACTGCCCCCTAGCTCTTCCCAGCTGAAAGTCATAAACTTCAAGAAGCACTAGAAGACTTGGAGACTTCACTGGTTTTTATTCCCACAGAATTCCCACTGGAATCATGCATGGAACTTTCAAAATGGTGATTCCCAGCCCCATTCCGAGAAAGATGGATTTAATTGGTTTTGGGTGGTCTGGAGACTGGTATGCTAACACCCTTCCTCTCCACAAGGAGATCTTAAGTGCATTGAAGATTTTAGAGGTCTCCTTATCTTGGGCTTCCTTCTACACGTGCATGCCCAGGTGGTTGCTAGTACTGCTGAGAATAATCTAGAAGTCTTAATAAAAAAAATGGGGATTTTTATTATTCCTCTATAATGATGATTTTCTGCTGGACAAGTGACAATACTGAAGGAAAGAGGGAGACAGATACTATGTCAGCAACATCAGATGGTTCTTCTACATCAGCAGGACACTAAGGTGCCTGTAATCTCATCTAGAATTTTTCCATGATGTAGGCTTGGTCTGAAGGTTGTTCCTGGGATGGGAGTTGATGAGAAGTTATAATTCAGGCAGAGGGTTTGAGGGTCTATTGCAGAGGCTAATATTTTCTCAGTCATTCTGTATCTCTTTTGCTCCTCTAGTGGGTTTTTCCCCTGTGGGTCTGCTCTGCTCTCAGAGACAGCGACTGAGTGTATGGATCCAAATCCAGTTATATCTCCTGGCAACCAGTGAGACAAGGCCTTCTTTGGATTTATTTTGCATCGTGTTTCTGTCTCAAGTAGCTTCTGCTAGGTAATGATCAGCCTAAATTTTATATAACCCTTATGCTGAGTCCATGGAAATTAACCCAACTGCTCTGCAGTTTTAGATCTATCTGTTGGAAGTCTGTAGAGACACTGAACCATCTTGCAGTGTAATTCAAGAAATGTGGCCTGTACTTGTTGGGAAACTGCCAAGAATTGCATGTGGTTATTTTATTTTATTTTTTTGTGGTGCTGGGGATTGAACCCAGGGCCTTGTGCACGCAAGGCAAGCACTCTACCAACTGAGTTACATCCCCAGTCCACGTATGGTTATTTTAACAGACAATTACCACATACCTGCGATTTCTTGGTTCTAAATATAAGAACACCTTTTAAAAATCTGAATAATTTGCGATTCTGAGGGAACACGCATTTACACTGAACACCGGAACTTTACTGTACCTGCCGGATTTCCCAGTTGACATTCCACTGTTTTATGTTGGTGAACCTCCATGTCGTAATAGGGATCCCGGTGGTTGCATCAATTCTAATCAACCTATTATAGGAAACTCCCAGAATGTCATCTTTCTTGCTTCCTTTAAATCTGAAAAAAAAAATGAATTAATAAAAGCAACTAGTCATTCAACATACAACTTCTTAAAGACTGAATGATAATTTTTAAATGATTTAAGAAAGGGCAATGAGAGATTTGCTCAGGAGGAGGATTTCTTTTTTAAATATTTATTTATTTTTTTTTAGTTTTAGGTGGACACTAAAACTAAATGGTGGAGACCATCTATGTGGTGCTGAGGATCGAACCCAGTGCCTCATGCATGGTAGGCAAGCACTCCACCACTAAGCCACAATCCCAGCCCCAGGGAGGATGTTTTTATAGGAAGGAATGGGGACTAGGAAGATGGAGATAATAAAAGCTATCCTGAAGATAACTCGAAAGTGACACTGATGTCAGAGGAAAGTAAAATAAGAGGGAGTCGAATCATTTTATACAGAGTTAGCACCAAGTACGTGTTCTGGGTACCCTTCTGGGCACTGGAAAGCAAACAACACTGAGAGAATATTCCTGAATAGTGGGGAATGAGAATCGTGAGTATATAAAATATACACATGCCAGATAAGATCTTGAAAGATGACATTGGATCGAACAGTGGATGCCCCCGAGGGAGTGATCCACGTGGATATCTGGGGAAAGAGTTTTCCAAGCAGAGGGCCCAAGCACTTTAAAAAAATTCTTTTTTCATGCTCAAGAACCTGGCAGGAGGCCCGTATGGTTGGCACAGTGAAGGAGGGGAGAGGAGATGGAAGGTCAGAGAGCGAAGGTCTTGCAGGCCATTTTCAGGATGTGCTGTGTTTGTTCTGAGTGCCACAGAAGCTGTGAGGTGGTTTGGAGCAGAGACTTGACATAATGTTATGGTTTCCGTAGGAGCTGTCCCCCAAAAGCCCATGTGTGAGACAAGGGTAGAGGCGAAATGATTGGGTTAGGAGAGCCTTCAGCTAATCAGTGAGTCACATGAATGGATCAACTGAGGGAGAAAGTGTGGGCAGGTCGGGTGTGGCTGCAGGAGGCCGGTCTCTGTGGATAGGCCTTAGGGGTTTGTATTTTGTACCTGGTGAGCAGGGCTCTGTGTTTCCTGTTTGACCTGTTCTGAGCTGTTTTCCCTCTGCCGCATCTTTCCACCACTGCACTGCCTTGCCTCTGGCCCAGAGTACTGGAGTCGTGGGCCCTTTGAAACTGAGAGCCCCTAAATAAACTTTTCCCCTTCTAAAATTGTTCTTGTCAGGTCTTTTGGTCACTATGGTGAAAAACCTGACTAAAATACATAGTCTGACCTAGATTTTATTTATTTGTTTATTTGGTACTGGGGATTGAACTCAGGAGTGCTTAACCATTGAGCCACATCCTTAGCCCCTTTTTAATTTTTTTTTTTTTTTTTAAGAGACAGGGTCTCACTGAATTGCTTACCAGGGCCTCTATAAATTGCGGAGGCTGGCTTTGAACTCAAGATCCTCCTGCCTCAGCCTCCTAAGCTGCTGGTCACAGATTTTAAAAGGATCAGTAGGGATGCTAAGTTGAGAACTTGAGGGACAAGGTAGGTAGGGAGACCAGGTAGGATCACTCTGGACCTGGTCCCCAGTGACACAACAGTGTGTTTGTTTTAAAAGCCGGGCCAGGGGGATTTGCAGTAGACAGGATGTCAGTGCAAAAGAGACAGCTGAGTCAGAATGACTCCAAGGGACCTGGCCTGTGCCTCTCTAGGGAAGGTCTGCCATCGGCTGAAATGCAGAGTAATGCAAAGGAGGGGGCAGGTTTTAGAGGGAAAGATCAGGAGTTCGGGACATGGTAAGATAAGGAAAAAAAATCCTAGTTCAATAAGCCACTTTCCACACTCCCCCCCACTTTTTTTTTTTGAGACAGGGTCTCACTATGTTGCTTATTTTGGCTTTGAACTTGCAATCCTCCTTCCTTCGCCTCCCGAGTAGCTGGAATGACACCTGCATGTCACCACATACAGCTTGTCACATCTTTTTTTTTATAAAAATGTCTTCATGTTGCTCTTAATGTTTACTTTTCTAGAATCATTCCCACACCTTCTGTTGTTTACTCTGCTACCTTAATACTTAACATCACGATAACCACCCCCCGCCCTTGTTCTTTGTGGTGTGTGTGAGAATCCAGGAGCACTCTACCACTGAGCTACATCCATCCACAGACCTTTTTACTTTTTATCTTGAGACAACTCGCTAAGTTGCTGAGGCTGACCTTGCACTTGCGATCCTCTACCTCAGTCTCCCAAGCTGCTGGGATTACAGATGCACGCCACCCTGCCTGGCATTGACCCACTTCTTGCTTCACCTGCTTCTTTCTTCCTTGAGTTGCTCTACAGCCTCCAGGGAGTTGTGAAGCACTGGTCCAGGTTTCTTGGCATGGGGAGATTCCTACAGCCACCTGCCACCCTACACCGGGAGGTCTGCTCTAGTCCTTGCAGATCTGGGAAAAGGCAGATCTTTACTCAGCCTGGGACTGCTGCCTCAAAGCCTCACCTCCATAAACAGATGCTGAAGGAGACATTACAGGTGGAGGGAAGTGAAGGGGGAAACAGTGTAAAGGAGCAATGGTCATTGGAAGATTGTTCAGGGCCCCTCTGCACTTTCACGGGATTCTCTCAACAATGCATGTTCAGGATGTCCACCGAGCAAGTGCATCAATGAAATGCCCGAGGTCCCAGAGCTAGCAGGAGCAAAGGTGGGACGGGAAGTTGGATCTGTTTGTCTCAAGTGTCCATGTTCTCTCCACTATGTGGGGCTGACTTGTAGAATTATAGGTGAGGGGACAGGAGCAGTAGTGCACGCCTATGATCCCAGTGATTCAGGAGGCTGAGGCAGGAGGATTGAAAGTCAAGGCCAGTCTCAGTAACTTAGCAAGTTCCTAAGCAACTTATTGAGACCCTGTCTCAAAATAAAAAATGAAAAGGGCAGGAGATGTAATTCAATAATAGAGAACCCCTGGGTTCAATCCCCAATGAAGAAAAATAGAATTATAGATGAGGTGTGTGTGTGTGTGTGTGTGTGTGTGTGTGTATTAACACACATGCATGCATATACATTGGTGTCCTGTACCACTCTGTCCTCCCTTGCTCTTTTGCTGAGGTAAATAAAGAAGAAAGAGTTGCTTTTTTTGGGGGGGGGGACAAATATCAGGGATAGAAGTTAAAGGAAGTGTTTCAGGGAATAAAAATGTTTGAGTAAACTTCCCTGCTAGCAGATATGGGAGAAACAGGGTCTTTGCAGAGAGCCAAGAAATAATAAAAACATTTTCATATAAGTCAATGCTTTAAAAATACAAACCAATCTTCCAATTCTCAAGTTATAAAATGAGAAAGTGACACTATCCTGCAGAATTAAATGCAAATTTTGCTTAAACACTAGCCTATCTTATTAAATGAAAAAATCAAATTTGATTTGCAAGCATGCTTGTGGATGCATTTTGGGAAATAATTTATTATATGGTGAGGCAGAACCGTCATGCTCGCTGGAGATTACCAATGAGGACACTGGATTCTAGGCCAAGGCCTGCCCCTGCCTAGGAGATGAACTTGGATGAGTCCTTTAAGCTTTTTCCCTACAGCCCAGTGTTCTCATTAGTCAGATACACGAGGGCAATGGATGGACCATCTACAGGACTTCAGATGCAGAAACAAGGTTGCTACTTGATAAGGCTGGGTGAACCCAAGACACAGGATTTTTAGGGGCCTCTGTATGGAAACTGGAGAACTGTGCAAAGCCACACAGGAGACACGGTGTGAGATACACAGTAAGGAAGAGGAGACGGACAAGAAAGGAATCCCAGATTTCATAAAATCTAGGATTTTATGAAATCAATAAGCTGTCTCTCTCCTTCTGGTTTTACAAAGGTAGTTATTCTCCTAAGAGAAGGAACATCTCTTTTTAATGTTTTAACATTTCCTTTTCCACATTTTGCCGAGTTTGGGTGGCAGGTGGTTCTGGTTCATGGACGATTTTTAGGAGCATTTGAAAACATGTGGGCCATCGGTAAAAGGGTAACACTCTAAAATAAGAGTTCCGCAGTCTCAGTGCGAATACACTGGGCTTCCAGAACACCACCTAACACTGGAGGGAAAGGGAGAGAGGCACGTGAACGCCGTGATCACCTGACAAGGTAGTAGGTGAGGCCGAACTCAGGTAGGGACTGCCAGGCCTGGATGAACCGCAGCTTGGCTTCAACCAGGGGCATCGTGGCCACGTTCTGATGGGCTTCCATGATCCGCGCAGCCAGCTATGAAGAGAAAGGAGACATCAAGCTTCTGCTGCATTCCCACCTGCCTGTCAGCATCCCCTCCAGATTCCCAGTGACAACAATCAATGCCAGGCCCAACTGCAGATCCACAGAGACTGTTCAGTCTCATTCACTCACACACACACTTTCTCTCTCTTTCTCCTTCTTTTCCTTAGAAAATATGAAAATCACTAGGGAGAAGGAGGACTAAGATCAGCCAACCAATAAGCTTCTAATTTTCATGCAGATGGAGAGTTTTACATCCCTTCTCTGGGGTCTCCAGTGTGTCCTTGGACAATAAGCTCATCTGTCCAATTTTTAAAAATTATTTCATTTCTAGTGCATTGCCGTTACACATAATAGTGGGGTTCATTTGGACATCTTCATAAACGCATGCAACATAGTATTCTCCATTTTCGACCCCCAGTACTATCCTCTTCTGTTCCCTCCTCCCTCCCCTTGAGCCCCTTCCTCTACCTTACTGGCCTTCCTTCTGTTTGTTTGTTTATTTTTTAATTGATGCACTATAGTTACATGTAAAATTGGAATGCGCTGCGATATATTCATACCTGCACGCAGCATAATTTGGTCAACTTTATTTCCCCTTTCTCTCCTCTCATCTGCCCAACTTTTAATCTACTCTTATTGGAAACGTAATTTTAATTTTCAATTTGTAGGGACTAAATCATTTTATTGCTAATTAAGTTCAATCTGGAACTATCAACCTATTAATAAAATTAACAGTAATTTAGCTGAGTGTGGTAGTGTACACCTGTGTAGTCCCAGAAGCTTAGGGCTGAGGCATGAGGATCACGAGTTCAAAGCCAGCCTCAGCAACGTAGTAAGGTCCTAAGAAACTCAGAGAGACCCTGTCTTTAAAATATATATATTTAAAAAAGGACTGGGGATGTGGCTCAGTGGTTAAGTGCCTCTGGCTTCAATCCCTGGTACCAAAAAAAAAAAAAAAAAAGTAACAGTAATTTCATAGCAGCTTCTAACTAATACCCAGTACATAGTCAAATTTCCCCATCGAACTATTTTTTCCTGATAATGACCCTAATCAGTTTTTATTTCAGAACATAAAGAATTTACACAAATGAACGTCTCGTCAAGATGAGCAGTACCTGCTTAGATTTGTGTTTTTTTGCACACCGAGGTGACACAAAACATTCTGGGTTCATGTCCATGCTTTCGAGACTGGAAGTCAACTGAATTGAGGACTTCCGGTTTTTCATCCTCAGAAACGAAAGGATGTTGAGGACCTCTGGCTGGTAGGAGCTGTCTGCCATGGTTTTGCCCTTTGATGCCAAGATGCAGGCAGCCATCCATTGGGCATACTGATTCTCCTGCAATGAAGCCAGAGAGCTGAGAAGCAAGTTCAAGTCCGGTCCAAAGTCAACCTTGTTATAAACACAGAACTTGGGCTCCATAACCCCAAACCAACACTCTCCGCATAAGGAGAGATGTGAATTGGCACTTTCTGAGTGGCTGTTAACCGTCTAAAGTAACACCCAACAATAGCTGTGTTGACTGTCTAGATGCTAAGGGGCTAGAGAACAGGAACTTGAACTTCACACAGGCAGGTGAAAGTCCAAACTACCAGAGAGCCTTGTTATTTTCCTCTTCCTCCTCCTCCTCCTCCTCCTCCCCAGAGAGCCTTGTTATTTTCCTCTTCCTCTTCCTCCTCCTCCTCCTCCTCCTCCCCCTTCTCCTCCTCCTCCCCAGAGAGCCTTGTTATTTTCTTTATTCTCCTCCTCCTCCTCCTCCTTTTTAAAAAATATTTTATTAGTTGTTGGTGGACCTTTATTTATTTTTATGTGGTGCTGAGAATCGAACCCAGTGTCTCATATGTGGATAGGCAAATGCTCTACCACTGAGCCCCAAGCCCAGTCCCATATTGCTATTTTCATATTATGTCTCAACTCTATGAAAAAAGAAAACAATGAAAAGAAAAATCATTCCCTGATTCCCTGCATTATTTGTCCCTGGCCTAACCTTAGTAAAGATTCTAATCACAAGATAGCAATCAGAGCCATGGATGGGATCTGAATCAGTTAGTGGTAGTTTTTCTAATGTCCCTTAATGTCTGAGCTCATTTTTCACTTTGAGAGAGAGAACAGGTGTGGTCCCCAGCAGCTGAAAGGTATAGTTAAACAGAATTCTTCAGAGCAATAGTAGGTGTGGTATATTGAGATACTGGCCTCAAGTTCCAACCTCTTGGTATTCATACCCTTTGCCATCTAACTGCATAGTGCATCCCACCTGAAACTGAATATATTTCCATCCCTTGACCTCCACCCACACTCATGTGATTTGCTTTGGTTGATAGAATGTGGGTGGGAGTTACAGTAAGTCAATTTCAAGCCCAAGCTTTAGGAGGCCACCCGTGTTGTCAGGTGCCCTCTTGCATGTCTCCCATCACTATGAGAAGAGCTTCCTTCAGGCAGCCTGGGACTCAGAATAAAAAAAATATACATATATCAGCTCAACCCCTGGTAAGGAGATAAGCCTCGCCAGGCTTGTGACTTAAAACACATCTGACCAACTGATACCAGCTTAGAAGATCAGATTCCTAGCCAACTTGCAGATCTTCCAGAAACAAATGTTTATTTTTGAATGTCACTGGGATTTTGTTATGATGTGATTTTTGTTACAAAACAATAGCTGACTGACTCAATTGTGCTCTAAGGTGAGAAAAACATGTGAGAGATGTTCCCTGATCTACTATAATTCAACTAAGAATTTTCCACTTTAGGATGGTGTGAAAGCATACCATACAACAATCTGTTTTTCACTTTTAGCACAATATTCAATAAAATGTACATGATATTTAGCTTTTTACTATAACATAGACTTTGTGCTTGATGATATTGCCAACTATAGGCTAATCTAAGCATTCTGAACACATTTAAGGTAGGCTAAGCTAGAATATTTGTAGATTAGGTATGCATTTTCAACTTAATAATCTTTTCAGATTAGGATAAGTCAAGAAACATGTTTTGTTCACAGGCTTAACAAAGGCAAAGTGAGGTAAGAGTTTTGTAGCTTTACTTACGTGGTCACATCTCAAATACACTTCGTTCATACCATCAGCAACTGGGATTAGTAACTTGATTCCAAATTTTCTGCCTGCTACATTCACGTCTGGCGCAACTTCACAGCCTGAATACAAAAGACAGGGACAAGACTCAGTTGTGAGGAATCTGTTGCATCAATATCAGGCATGGCATCTGAAACCAAGGCTTTCAATGTGAGCCCCTCACATCTGGTTCTCTTCTGAACACGGAGGAGCAAGTGATGCCGTTAATTAGAGGAGAACAAAATAAAACTTATGAAGAATTAGCATGGATAAAGAAAAACGATTTTCTTAAATTAAAAAAAGCTGAATTCATTCTTTTTTTTTTCTGGATGATGATGGCTATCCTAACTCTTAGGAACAATTATGGATATGGACTTGAAAAGAAATCAAAGCAGAGGTAGTTCTCTGATTGCTACCATGATGAGAGGTAAGTGCACTGGTTAATTAAATATTTCAATTAATATATGGTTTCAGAGATTAGAATGGGCACTGACAGACATTGAATCATACATGACTGTTCTTGGCTTTAAAAAATCTATTTATTTATTTATTTTTGGTTCTGGCCACTGAACCCAGGGGTGCTTAAACACTGAGCTCCATCCACAGTTCTTTTTATTTTTTTAAATTAGAAACACGGTCTCCATAAGTTGTCAACACTGGCCTCAAACCTGCCATCCTCCTGCCTCAGCCTCCTGAGTTGCTGGAATTATAGGCATGTGCCACACACCCAGCATTGATGTGGGGCTGGGGCTTGAACCTAATGCTTTCTCCATTTTAAGCAGATGAACAACCACTGAGCCCCAGCCCCAGCCCAGACTGTTCTTAAACTTAGAAAGCTTTTCGGGATCTTACAGTGTCTCATGGATACCAACTGTCACCACTTCACAGACTCTGGACACAGTCGGAAAGAAGGGGCAGCAGAATATGAATATCCATGTTGACTAGACCACACCCAATGTTCACGTTCCATCAGGAAGAGGAGCTGCCACGTGGAATATGGTGACACCAGAGGTCCCTCCAGAGGTACACCGTGAGCATTCTGTGGGAGTCTTGCCTTCTATCTGCAAGCCACCGTGAGTGAAGGGAGGCTCTTACCTCTAAGATTGAGTTTTTCTATGGGTTCTCCTTGTTCAAGTTCCGCATTTTTAAAGTAGGTTATAGATGTGTCTTTAAAGACGAACCAATATTGTTTGAAAGCTTTTAATAATAGCTTCTTTGGCCTGCAAGTTAAAGTACAGTCAACATTTCAGTCACTATCTGGAGCTGCAAAACACAGTGCAGGTGCTTCCAAGACCCCGTGGGCAACATATTCTTTTTTTTTTTTTTAATAACAATTTGCAAATTGCTCTCTCTTTCTCTCTCTCTCTCTCTCTAAATATGTGCTCTACCACTGAGCTGCATGCCCAGCTCACTAACTCATTTCTTTTTTTTAAATTGTTGATAGTTCCTTATTTTTATTTATTTATATGTGGTGCTGAGAATCGAACCCAGTGCCTCACACATGCCAGGCAAGTGTGCTACCGCTGAACTACAGCTCCAGCCCCTCACTAACTCATTTCTAAAAGCTAGTAACAGGGTGTGGCTTTGCTAGGCACAAGTTAACACAAAGGCTCAGGAGTTAGACCTCTTGGATCCACATTGTGGCTCTGCTACAGCCTTATCTTGTGTTCCTGAGAAAGCTATCCCTCCTGCCTGGGCCGCATGTACTGCCCCTCTGTGATGAGGGCAATTTCAAATTCACACAGCATTATGAAGTGCTTATCTCAGTGCCTGAGATAAGGCACAAGGGAAATACTTGATGTAATTTGTCCCATGTGACTCTTTGAATTCACTGCATACTTCCTGGAGCTGAAGAGAAGGGTTGATACCATCAGTACAAGCCTCATGTTAACAGACATAACAAAAGTAAGCCACTTTTTCTGCACAGTTTTCTCCTAACCCTTAAGAGAAACAAACAGAAAATGCCCAGGAAAGCATGGAGATCACCAAAATCTAGAGCTCATTTCTGTATAGAAAGTAATATGGAGATTTCTTGGCAAACTGGGAATGGAACTACCATTTGACCCAGCTCTCCCACATCTTGGTCTATACTCAAAAGGACTTAAACACAGCATATTACAGGGACACAGCTACATCAATATTTATAGCAGCACAATTCACAATAGCTAAACTGTGGAGCCAACCTAGATGCCCTTCAGTGGATGAATGGATAAAGATAATGTGGTATATATACACAATGGAATATTACTAGGCAATAAAAGAGAATAAAATCATGGCATTTTCAGGTAAATGGATGGAGCTGGAGAAAATAATGCTAATGAAGTTAGCCAATCCCAAAAAACCAAATGCTGAATGTTATCTCTGATATAAGGAGGCTGATTCACAATGAGGTTGGTGGGGGAAGCATGGGAGGATTAGACGAACTCTAGATAGAGCAAAGGGGAGGGCGGATAAGGGAGGGGGCATGGGGGTAGGAAAGATGTGGAATGAGATGGACATCATTACCCTAAGTACATGTATGAAGACACGAATGGTGTGATTCTACTTTATGTACAACCAGAGATATAAAAAATTGTGCTCTGTGTAATATGAATTATAATGCATTCTGCTGTCATCCATAATAAATTAGAATAGAACATATTTTGGAGAAAGATGTTCTACAGTGGCATCTGTTAGGGCCAGAAAAGTTTGTGGCTTGGGCTAGACAAGGTCAGGATTGCCAACAGCAGGCCTGATGGTTGTGTTATTCAGAATAGTTAATATGAGTGAGAGCTGGAGGTAGAAAAGAGTATATAGATAGGCAAAAAAAAAAAAAAAGTAAGAGTTATATCTGGTTCAGCAGAACAATCTTGGCCTTTGGAATTAGACCAGGTATCTCATGCTGGGAGTAGACTTTTGTATTCAAAAATGGGAGTAGGAGGCTGGGTGTGGTGGTGCCTGCCTGTAATTCCAGCAACTCAGGAG